CCACTGCTGAGCTGTTCCACCACAGGGAGAAAGGGGATGAAGTGAAATAGCCACTAAGTTATTAGTAAAGTATCTTTCAAGCATTATCAAGTCAACAGAAGGAAAACAAAGGAAGTGTATTTTTTTTCCCCTTACATAAAAGTTTCTAATGTAAGCAGAATTTACTTCTAGAGACAGAAAATGGTGTTTGTTTTGTTTATAACATGTCAGGTATGATGAGGGTGTAGGGAGTGACGAAAGCTCATTTTGGTATCGACATATACACAGATATATCTCCAAGAAGCTTGTACATTACAGGAACATCCTGAAAAAGTAAAGAGTCAGTTATTTTGTCGTTCTTCATTATTTGCCTGTTTGTTTGTGTGTTTGCTTGCTTGTTTGTAATCGGTTATAAAAATGAAAAGAAAATAAAGTGAATAATTTTCTGAAAACCCTATGGCCCACAGATATAACATTCACAGATGCCTACACAGTGTGAAAATAGCAGTTCTTCGCCCCCACTGCTTCCTACAGAAAAACCACCACAGACTTGCTCAGTGTCAGTAGGCTGGTGTCCAAGGAGAGTGCAGTAAAGAGATCCTGATAATGTTACAGGCATAACTATGATATTTCACCTGTAATATCAATTAAAATCTGATTAATTTAAATTTATTTATAATGTATTTTTTCAAAATACATTGCACATGGACATATGCCAGAACACAATATTCCTGCAATATATATATATATTTTTTGACAAATTAATTATTAAATAATAAATATATGTGGCAGATTTATATCCCATATATTCCACCTGTAAAGAATGTGAATATGTTACACATTTTGCATGGTGCTTTACTGACCTTATTGTATTACAGAATATGAATAAATATAGCGTGACATTTCTGGACACAGGGTTAACATATGGCACCTCTTTCAAGGCCAAAACTGATACATACATAAACTGGACTGCAGTCATTTCACTATTTGTGTTTCACAGCACAGCATGAAATCAATAAATAGTAAACACTGATAATTGTAGTATCTGCAGCCTGTGTATAATTGATTTTGATAGAGAGGCAGATTCACTTTCCAACAGAGCGCAGTTGCCTTAGTCTTGCAGTTGTTTACCTCTCGTTCTTTATGCAAGATTTTATACTTCTGTTGTCAATACTCAATGCTTGTTGCCAGTAGTATTATGTAAAAATGAAGTAAGGGCACACTGTACAGCACTGTACTTGTGAGAGATTTTAACCAAGAACTATGAACGTCAATCTTTCAATTGATCACCCATTTGCAAATGACGTATCCTAGCTGGGTTTAGTTTAGGGATTACTGGAGCCTATTGCAAGCTAGGGTACAAGGCTGGCCATCCTCAGGCTCAGACACTCTAGTCAATTCAGAGATGCCATTTAGCCTAACTGCATGTCTTTGAACTGTGGGAGGAAGCCTGTTCAGCACAGAGAGGGCATGCAAACTCTGCACCTAGAGTGGGGGGAGGTTCAGAGCTCCGGTCCAGGGGGGTTGAGGCAGTAGGGCTACCCAGTGAGACGTCTTGCTGCTCACCATGTAGGAACATTATTATTTGATATAAACAACCCAGAATAGTTATAACAAAGGAATATATTTTAAGAATTTAAAGCCCGCTAGCCATGAACTTGTCCACATTACGTTATAAGAGACAGTGTTTTTGCCTGCAAAACTTGCGATGGTTTGTCTAAACTTGAGTGATGTGAAATCCAGTTTTTTGTCTAAGTGTGACCAGACTCTTCGCCTTCTTAAACCGAGATGTTAACACTGCAGGCTTAGAGCTAGGTAAAGCCGTTCGTATTATTTTTGCTAATGAGTTTGGTACAATACCCATCTATTGTTGAGCAAGTGAGGGAAAAATGGTAGTCATTGACAATAAAGCACTGAGACGAAACTGTGAAAATAAGAAATCTGTGTTTAAATGTAAGCTATTGTCCGATGTAAAATGAATTTAGTAATGTTTAAATGGATTAGTGATTTTAAGGATGAATGTTTCTACTAGCATGGCAGGGTACTTAAAACTTTCTGTAACAGCTGAGAAGCTATTATGAATTATTACAGTACGAGCACAAAACCTTGTTATTGTAACAGTGAGTCAGAGCCAGGCTATTAAAAAGGTATTCACTTTTTCGTCTTTTTCTCTAGTTCTCCATGCCAGCAACCTTATGTAAATTTAGACATTTTATTTTATAAAATAAAAGTACAACTATAGGACAAAAATAGTATTAGACTCTATTTAATCACAATTGGTAGATATTTGCAGACTTCATTGTGAGATATGCTACATAAAACATAAGGGAAAGTAGCATGTGAGCAGAACAGCATGAACAAAATGAGGAAAAATCCTCCCAAACTTTAAAAATAATGAGACCCTTGGATGGAGGAAACTGCAGTGGGCTTAGCAGTAGTACACTCAGGATACCTGTACTTATCTGCTGCTATACTATGAGTAAGTACATTTAATTCAAGGAAGCTAAAGCATGGACATCACATTAGGTGTTCAGTTTTGAGCCAGGTACTAACTGACCTTATGATTCAAATGTAAGTATTTTCAAATTTTCGTCTTGGGCAGTCAATTGAATCACCAGTGAATATGGACAAAGACTGTAAGAAAACATGTAAAAGTTATCACTAAACAGACCGCTGTCTGGCCCTTTACAGGTGAATAATATATACCATTAACCAAATACACACCATTAAGAAAAACTGCATTCAGCTTTAACTGGGTTGATAAATACAAGGGCATACTTAAACATACAATGTGTGTACCACGCTGACCTACTTCTTGGTGGTTAGGAGACTAAAGTGTTTAAAGTATCCCGTTAGGTTATTGTTAGAGTGGAGAGGCCTGTTCAAAAGGAGACTCTGGGAGAGACTTTATGATAGTGATGTGGATTGCTTACGACAAAAAAGCTGAATAGGTTAAAGAATTTATATGAAAGGCAATGCATAATGGATACCGTCAAACTTATACAACTAATGTACAAAAGGAAATCACTCTCTTCATTGTTGTGCAGGCTCAATTAACATGGAGATTGAGAGCACAGTGCAATCTCCCTAAATCCTCACTGTTATCTGCCCTTTGCAGGTACACTCTGCTTAGTATTCGTCCGTGAGGGATTGCCTTGTTTAGCGTTCATCATGTATGTGGAAAGGTGTGAACAAGAAGTTTTCTGGCTAGCACACTTCACCTTAAAAGTTGTGATGGGTAAAACACCTTACTTTTTGTTTCATTGGAACAATGTACATATCAAACTAGTATGTATTTCCTTTTCAAGATGTATGCAGACACTCCTTGACTTGCGCAAATACACTACTTATGTCAAAATTTACATATGTCAGATTTCCCCTCATCCCCCTCCGTTGAACATAGCCCAGCCTACCGTAGACTAACCTAACCTAGCCTAGGCATTTATTGCAAACACAGGTATAGAAAAGTACACAATTAATATAATTATCTAGTAAATGTCATGCATATTAAATACTGTGATAAGACATGAGCCTAGTCAATGAAATGAATTCTTTACATTTGTATAAAGCTCTACATCTATTTAGAATAGATGCGTTCATGCGACAAGACATGCGACAAGACATGCGAGAACTGGGGAGATGCAGCTACCTGCCTCGTCTGCCTGCACCAACTTGCGCTTAACATACTTCAGACGCTTTGCATATGCAGCATCCATAAATAATGCGTATGGCGGGAATTTTTAACGCAAGTCTGGATTTATGTAAGTCAAATTTACATAAGTAGAGGTTTGTCAGTGCTTTTACTGTTATATCTCATTGCTAAGATAATTTATTTTATATCATTTGCATCCTGGCCACACATCAGCACTTTTGAATTATTGTAGAAAATGGTATCATCATTTTGTACAAAATTACTAAATCATTCAACACTGGACATTCTTTTAAACCTGATCAGGAGGAAAATATTCATTTTAAGACCTGGATATTAGTCTCTAACCACTGGAAATGTATTTTGACTAAATGAAAAACATAACTTGTGATTATTAATTACAATAAACGCTTCTCACATTTCTTTCTTCCATGTGTTAAGTTTTCCACCTTGATCTTACTGCCATGTGGTGGCAAGTTCTCAGGAAGAAAGTTCACATGTAACCATGCAAAACTTGCTTAAAATCAATGTGTGTCATATGGATGTAGTTGTAGTTGTTGATATTGTAGCTTTAATATACTTGCCAAATTACAAATAAAATATTGAGATTTTGGAATCCATTTACAGAGATTATGTAAAGTAATAGTGGTCATAATGATCAGAATTGTTATTCAGATATTTTATAATTTGCTTTATAAGCTATTTTTTATAAATTGATATAAAACTGCAGTATGTACAGAAACTATTTAATGAAAATGTATGAAGTATATAGAAAATTTAAGTATCGCAAAAGTGATGTGAAGAGTTTGCTCAATAATTTAAAGAAAATGGTCCAGATGGAGTTGTCTGTCTAATAGAAAGTGTAAGTGAGTATGTACAACAGTATAATCCTTCCTTCTTGTTACATTGTAGGTCTTTATGAATCCTTAATCTTCATGATGAAAGGGTTGTTGATTAGACAGTTGCTTGTATGGTTCTTTTGATAGGCTTTTAAACATTTTTCAAATACTGATATTCAAGTCAACTAAGAATTTTCACTTATTGCACATAATATTTCATATGCACATGTGTAAGAATTTATATAAATAGATAATAACCACAGTATATTCTAAATATGTTATTCAGTCACCAGTTAAGTAGAGAAAACACTTCATTATTCATATCTATACATGCAAATCAATATTATAAGCTTATGTTGCAAAAAAGTAATTACATCACTCCAGAATAAAAAAAAATAAAACTTCAGGCACATACAACGTGAACTCTTTAGTTATAATGTTATATTATTTTAGGTTGTGGGATTCCTGAAGTTATATAATGGATTATTGGTGTTCAAGATCAGCCTTTCTTTTCCATCTGCCTCCTTCTCCAGCAGACAGACGACTCAGCACAGACCGACAGCCAGCAACCGACACAGTCCTGCGAAAACACAGACAGCAAGACACAGCCAAAGCGGCTCCACGTCTCTAATATTCCATTCAGGTTTAGAGACCCTGACCTCAGGCAAATGTTTGGTGTAAGTACTGCTTTTTCAGTCCATTACGGGTGCCTGCAAGGGACAGACTTCCTGTCATACTTACTGTACTGTCATCAACCAGTTGTTCTACATGGAAATTACATGAAGAATAATTTCAAAATCTTGCCGGAGTTAAAACTTAAAAAGCATTCAAACCTACTTATCATTAATGAAGATTACCTTTATATCTGCCTTTCTTTCTTCCCAGCAATTTGGTAAAATCTTAGATGTTGAAATCATTTTTAATGAGAGAGGATCTAAGGTATGTAGTCTGCCTCTTCATCTTGTGCATGCTTTTCTATTGGTATCTTCTTCCAAATATTTATTATGAAGAAGCAAGAAAGTCTATTTAATTTCTCATTGTAATCATCTTAAAAATTTAGCATATATTTAATTGTTTTGAAGTTTAGTTTTTTTAGTGGGTTTTAAGGTATTTTATGGTACAAGTAATTGCAAACAAACATTATCTAATCTATTTTAGCTTCTAGAATTCCAATCATCCCCATGCTTCTGACCAGCATAACAGGTTAAAAGGTGATGAGTAGATTCCCTGTAACTGCAGTGATGTAAATGTGCAATAAATAATATAACTATAATTCTAGAGGTTGTCGATAGAGCAGGTTGTTCCTTTCTGGTATTTTGGATTCCTCAGCTGGATCACAAAAACGAATTTTATTTTAAATTTGTCATATGAAGGTTGATGACTAAATATCTAAATATTGTAGATACTATATACTGGAGAAAATTTGAAAACGATTCTCTGCAGCTGATCATTGGCATTGCTGTGCTAAAGGTCCAAGATCATAAGTTATATATGAAAGACACGGGTGGGCTTTCCTGCTTCTTCATTACCAGATCAAACCAACAAGCACAGATGAACATTCTGGAAATCAATCAAGCCGATGGTCGTACAGAGGATTTTTAAAACATCAGCGTAGATTTATGTATTTGAAGTCCATAGCATTAGAACACATATATTTGTATTTGTATTTTTTTTCCTGCTTGAATGTCTTATTTTTTTTATGTTCTTATGATGTTTGAAGACAAATCAGTGAGATAGTAATGTCACATTTGTTATTAGCATTACCTCTTTGGTCTTCAGTTGATGTAATAAAACATCAGCAAATATCCAAAAGCTGACATGTATAGTGTTCTACAAGGGATCTCTTTGGTCTCTCTTTTTTTTTTTTTTTCTTTGCATGTACGACATGAAATTTCACAATTTGGGCAAACTGAAAATTGACCGGTTGATGTGTGATGGACGCCTTGCTGAATGACCGATTTATTAATGAGTATCTTGTTTCCCCCTTTTTCCACATGCATGCAGGGATTTGGTTTCGTAACTTTTGAAAATAGTGCTGATGCCGACAGGGCCAGGGAGAAATTACACGGCACGGTGGTAGAAGGCCGTAAAATAGAGGTGCCTCTTACCAATATTATCATCTAATTCACTTACGTTTTGTTTCAGATCGTCTGCCGTATAACCTCATATGTTCTGTGCCATGTCTTTGCTTTTATTTATATTTGCTTATTTTTGGTCTACTCATATGTTCCCTCCTTGTTCTCATGAGTTTGTTTATATACGTTCCGTTAATATGTATACATGTGCATTTGTAGATGTTCATGTAGATATAAACAGTTTTGTATTATACTTTAAAAGGAAGAATCGCTTAAGTAAAAAAAACAGCAACATTTGTAAGGTATACTTTGATTATTTCAGAAATTTGGCTGTTTAAAACAAAGCAAATAGCTGCACAATTATCTTGATCAGCATTTACGTGATTTTAATTGAAAATCATGCTTCTATAGTTTTTTTGATGCTACTTTTTATGGTTTATAATTTTTGCAAGTGGTGTGAACTACTAGGAGTATATAGCATGTAAGATCATCATTAAACTTATGGTAATTTTATAGCGATCCATGTGGTACGTGAATGGCAAATGTCTGTCTGCCAATTTCACTTATGTGTGCTTTGCCAGCTGCCTAAATCACATTTAAAACTGTAAATGTTTTGTAACTCTGTTTGTAATTACACGAAAGGAAAAGGGTTATGTGTTTATGCACATTTCATGCACATAATGTTGGGCATGTTCTCATTATTATTATTGTTATTATTATTATTTGGTAGCATCATTGCATGTTTACACATATGTATATATAATGCCTAATTGATTTGTTTGATATGGTAACTTGATGAATGAATGGTAAAATGATTGAATTTTAATTACTATTTTTACAGTAACAGTACTGCCATTCAAAAAATATATATATATAGTTACTGTATTATTTGTTATTCAGTAATCAATGGAGTAAAGGTGTTAGGCCACCTTTAAAATGTTCACTAATATATCTTCTTTATGCTTAGGTTAATAATGCAACAGCACGGGTTATGACAAATAAAAAGACAGTCAATCCTTATGCAAATGGTAAGTTATAGATACGTTTGTCCAGTCAGATACTTGAACTTTGAATGACTTTATTCTCGTGATGACTTTTCAAAGAGTTCTAAATGATTGTAACACAAGTATTGCCTACCAATTTCAAACTTGGCAACACATTACAAAATATTAATAAGGCTTCTTTCAAATGACAGTTGGATTAGGAGCTTTAAGTTTTTAAACAAATGTTGGCCTTGATGTGTGGAAAAAGTATTCGCCCAAGCAGTTAAAATTTTATTTTATAAACTAGTGTCCATATGCCACCTGTTCTGACACCCTTCTGAAAACCATTAAAAATACATGGAATTAGCACTCATTTATATGAAACTCCCAAACAGTTACACTCTGTAATAAGTGCTCTAGTGGAATGATTCTGAAATATAGAATGTATGGTCAGATATATACCCTGTGGAGAGCTCCAGTTCATGATCCTGAAATTCAACCATGGTTGGGAAAATTTTGAGATGTTAATTCAACTGAATGGTGCGATTGTGGAAGCAAACCACAAAAAAGTGGCACGCAAAGAAAATACACTCTGTAGTCATGCTACTGTAGAATATTTATGAACCCTAAACTCTGGAAGCGTGAGACTACCTGTTAACCTTACCGCGCTGCCTCTTCTAACCCTATAAAACGTCCTTGTAATGGGCACCATCTATTATTGACCTTAGCTGTAAAAATTGTGATAATTACCACAAAAACAGATAGGATGTAGAATGGCAGCAGAATTTATAAATAAATGCTACTAATAATAATCCTTTGGTTTGCTCCACGTTTACACTTCAGTGTCTGTACTGCAAATTAGGTTACAATTTCTTGCATTTCTTAGTGTTGAATCTGTAACGTTGCAAAAGAATGGCTCATTTAGTAGCAACATAAGCTTAAATTGTACTGCAGATAATTTTTGTGCATTTCATGCTGTTCCTGAATTACATTTTGTAATTCGTAAGGCTAAAAAGGGTATAACATCCCAATGAAAAGATTTATTTTTTCTTGTGGATATTTTTGTTACTTCTATTTTTAGATAATTTGATAATTATTAGGCGTCTTCAGTTTCACATAATTACATTCTAAGGTGAAAATGTGAAAACAAATTTAATGAATTCCGCTTTCACATGCATTTCTTCGAATTTTTCTGAGCAAAAAAAAAAAAACAACCTGGGCAATGATTAGCCATGGTACACAAATGTTTCTTCCTAGCTCTCATGAATAAACAGCAGTGTGGGTTTTAAAGCCTCATTTCTCCCATCACTATCATAAAACCAGAATCCCTGGTTATATAGGTGTTGTCATGGCAGCAGAAAAGGATTTGTAATTATTGCCTCATTAAGTTTTGTTAACTGGAGAACCAAGGTAAGGTCCTATAAAAGCTGACAATCATGTAATTTTCTCCTTTGTTGTCTACACTTAATTCGTGATTACTCACCTTGATTCATTTCTAAAATTATAACAGCTGTAGCTCTTGAAATTCCCTTTTATTTGGTTATCTTCAGACTCAGAGCTCTTGCAGTATTTGTAAAGTATTGAAAAAGCTCTTGGCAGCGAAACCCAAAATACCTGGCTTTTAAGCTTATGTTATGAACAGTCACAGTCTGCCATCTACATCTTCTTTCTTCTTGTTGCTCAAGCTTGGAGGTAGAGTCAGTATGTTTGAAAACCTTTGAATGTAATTCGGTTTGCACACATCATTATTATAGAAGTATTACAATTGCACCACCTTTTAAATACTCACTGCTAATAAGTGCTCTTCTTTACTAAATAAAATGTACACAAGACTACAAGCAGTCCTCAGGTTAAGAACATCTGACTTACGGACAAGTATGAACGGACTGCCACAAAGGTTCTTATATTAGAAATTTGTTAAATACAATGAGTCGAAAAAAAAAAAAAAAAAGGCATGCACTACTTTGTGATACTCATGAAAACATAGATTTTGTTGGCTCAAGGTACTCTACAGTACTGTATGTAGTTCTTATTATTATTACCTTTATTATTGTGGTTGTTATTGTTATTATGTACTGTATTATTATTTTTCCGACTTACCTACATATTTAACTTAAAGACAGATTTAGGAAACAGATCTCGTTTGTAACCTGGAGACTGCCTATACTGTATATCCTGTCCATTATTCTTAATTTACAATTTACCAAAAGTTTCTATATGTCATAGAACTTACTTCTGAAAATGGAATACAAGACATTATTTTAAAAATGGCATTTCAACATAATTTTCAGTAGATAAAGGCTATAGATGGGGGTGTGGCTCCGTGGGTCGGGACACTGTGCCTGTGATTGAAGGGCCACCACTTCAGATCCCCTTGGCAGAGTGGATTCACTGTTCGGCCCTTGAGCAAAGGCCCTTAACCCCGATTTCTGTAGGGACCGTGCTTTATTAAAAAACGAAAAAAAGTACAGCAATTTGGATAATACTGTTTGATAAATAAACACATGTATGTATAAATGTACATGCTCATGTTCTAGGACAGGGGTAGCCAATCTTATCCGCAAAGGGCCGGTGTGTATGCAGGTTTTTGGGATAACCTGTAGGTCAGCTGTTCAAACCCAGGTGTGAGGACTCTTTCAGCCAATTAGTCCTCTAATTAGTAATCTAATTATGGAGTTGCAGCGAAAACCCGCATACACACCGGCCCTTTGCGGATAAGATTGGCTACCCCTGTTCTAGGAAAACATTTCACAATAATTAAAGCTTTTCTCAGCTGCATTCATTTGAAGGACAGGTAGAAGTATCCTCCCGTTGAATGATCCAAGTGTATAAGCAGTTTAACATGCTTCAGCTTTCCACCCGCTGCAACTGTCAACTCTATAATGTGTAATGTGACCCTACAATTTATTTATTTATGCATTTATTCTTCTTGTTGACATGTTAGACAAGGAGATAAAAGCATCTGGTAAAGGCCTGGACATCTCAGATATGGGGCTTATTATTGCAGAGCAGCATAGCTGTATATGGACACTGAATTGAAATTAGGGGAAACCATTTGTTGCACAGCAAGTTGCATGTGTGATATATTTTACAAGCATTGATGGATTAACGAAGGGTGGACAGAGAGGTAAATAATCTAACTTGTACATGATCAAAAGCTCCTCAGAGAGGTGGGTCATTTTCACTTGCCCCCGATCTGTGGTCTTGCTCTTGGGTTCCTTAGACAGCAGTGTGGCAGCCCCCCGTTACACATGATTAACCCACACAGTTATACGCTAACGCACAGCTCACAGGCCAGACAGAGTAAAGTTTAATTGCTGTTATTTCCATGATAAATGGGGGTTTGGGATTCAGCAGCCTGGAGAAAGGTAGGCGGATGTGGCCATCGGAAAAGCAGCAGAAGTAGGACTGTGGATGAAAAATGAGACAAACTTTCGGCCATGAGCATCGACCGACATCGCCTTGGATTTTTCATGGACAAATTGAGAAGCCATTAGTAGAAATTAAAGTATAAGAAGAATTTGTTTGATTTACCGGCTTCACTAACCCCCCAACCCCCATTACTATACAGTGTGTATTACACTGACAGAGGTGATATCTGACTTCCTGCAAGCTGTTTTGTAGAGCTGATGCTAAGTTTCAGTTATTAAATTATGTAATATGCAATTTCTGTTTGTCTTTAGGCTGGAAGTTGAATCCAGTGGTGGGTGCAGTCTACAGCCCAGAATTCTATGCAGGTACGTTAAAAATCTATCAGTAATAGCCAAGCGTCCTGATTCTGTGGTCTTTCTGCACCCCTTTCTGAAGCATAATTCTCTTAGATGATGCCGATGTTGTAGTTTTAATCCAGCCTATATGGAGACCAGTCAAGTTTTATATGTGAGGTGCTATAGATCAATAAAGCAACTATATGTCACCTATATTTTTACTTGGTGACTTATGAAAAATGAAATAAAATAACAAATAATAAATCAAATAGCAAACATGAAATACTTTATCAGTTACTGGTAAAGTATGCCAGATTTAGTTCTGATGGATTTGTGCCATGGCTGTTATAATTATGCTGAATTTGCAGTTTTGAAGCTGATAAATTTGAGAAATATATATGTGTGGGTGTGTAATTTATTTTTGAAATTTAAGTATTGCATTTTTATGGAGAATATGGTAAGACGGACAAACTACTGAAATGGTTTTAATATTGTTTGACCAGCAAAGTTGCCATTATTCATCACGGATATATGGCCAGGGATTTTCTTTACTACCAAATCATGACAAGACACTGCTCCCTTTTTACAGGTTTGGGACAGATGCGAAAGACAGTGAGGTTTAATAATCGAAACCAGAGATTTTTGTATGAAAAGTTGAAAAACTCAACGCACTGAAGACTAAAATAAGCCTCACACTTCCTCTCTTTTCTTTGTGATTTCTTTTAATACCCACATCCACCCAGCTGACCCCATAAAACCCTAACAGTCAATTATTCTAATTAGGACCAGCTGGGTTTCATTAACAGGGTTACCTGTATGAGCAGGGTGGAGATAAATCACCACGGTAACATATAAGATCACTGAAGGCCAGCTTCTATCATTGTGTGCCCCCCTGCTGGCTCATACAAATTATCTGAAGATGATCTAAGTGAGAAGTGCCGATTTAAAAAATCATAAATCTTAATAAAGACAGAAGCTGGTTTTTAGAAAGCTGTCAGAATCTTCTGATTAATAGGAATTTCACCAGTTTTTGATTGCCAATGAAGATACTCGTAGTTCTGCTGGAGTACATTCGTACATCATGTCTGCCTGCTCAGATTTATGATGAAATTGTCGGTGAGAACAGGGTATAACCCCAGAAAGCTTTACGAAACTCAGATGATGCACCACTTGGATTTGCATAACTCACTTTCTCCCACTGTGGAATTTTTCAGAGCTTAGGAGAGTTAATGGAAATTAGAGTTCAACAAAAGTACTCCGAGGGAAAAAAATAAAATCAATCAAAAAGGAATGCAATACCACCTAGTTGAAATATGGCTGGTCAAAACCAGGGGAATATTATTTAAATCAATTTTCAGCAAGCACCACCTGATCTACATGGTACTGAAAGTGTTTTACATGTGATAGGTACTCTCACCTTTGTCATGTGATTTATATATTTCACTAGCTGATGACTTTAGTTTTCTTAGCTAACCTGCCTTAACTCTGGAAACTTATTCTGTGTGATTCTGATTCTAATTATTTCTACAGATAATCGTAATATGATGTGAAGGCATTTAACAAAAACAAAAGTTCTGTGTTAGCACTGGTAATGTCACCTACAATTATCAATAACATGTTATTGTGTGACATGAGACAGACAAGAAGTGTAGCACTTCAAAATGTAGCATATAATTATTGTAGATGTCAAAAAATTATAAATTGGAGTTTGCTTGGGTCCTTTTCTCAGTAAACTTTTATAGAACAGTGAGCACTTTGTACTATTCCCATGTTAACGTGAGCGTATTACTTAAGAACAGCAAAATACATTTATCAAATAGTATTATGCTTATCACTTTCATTGTGGTTGTTTTTCTTGATAATTTTTATTTTACACATTGCCACTACAGCTTAATAAATTAGTTATTGGAAACCTTTCATAGTTCAGATTTATTTTTAATTCTTGTGACTATACATGATTCTTACTCTAAACGGTCTATTTAGATCAAAATATTTTTAATGCAGGAATATACTTCTGTATGTTTTGAAAACAATAATTTAGTATTTAGCTTAAACAGTCAGCGGTGGAATATAAAAGGTAATTCACAATCAGAGATAAGCTGTGACAAACAAAAGTTAAAGATCTTTCAGTAAGAGAAACTGCTATTGAAGCGACAAAAATATATAGTTTATATGCTTATTAATTACTCCACATATTTTTATGCATTGCATACTCCTCTGATAAAACTTCCATCAACTTCTTTAATTAAAGTAATAGCTAAAATATGGTTCCAGATCAGCAGTTATTAATCCCGGCACTTTGAGTGTCATTAATTAACTATGGAAAAAAGCAAACACTTGAAAGTAATGGCACTGCTTTTCTGAAATGGTAAGTCAATGCATTGAATGTGAGTACAGAAAAACACCCACACACTAAAGTTATTACATTTGCGCAGTAGCCAATATTTAGTACCACTTAATGTTTGTCTGTGCTTTAATTTAACAACATAAATCAACTCACTTAAATGTATGATATTAGTAGTAACAAGTACGGTGGCACCCCAGTTAACTATAGGTTTGCTATTTTTAGTCATTGCGGTACTAATAGGGATATGTCATGTAAAATATGAGCAGTGCGTGAGTAGTTTTTTCAAAGTTTGACTAATGAAAATGTAAGGAGGTGAATATGTAAATAAGAACAAAAATAGCTTTGTTATTTATCATAGTGGATTGCTGGTGCAGCTATTGCAGTATTGCTAATAGTGTACAAATAATCATATTTTGTAAAAAACATATATTATGATATATGGCTTATTTCAATAGTACTTTCATCATAAACCAGGCATATTAGGAGTTAAATTACAAAAGTGCAAATTCATAAATCAAGTTAGTTAAAACAAAGTAAAACTATCTGTGTTGTTCAGATAAAATAAAGCATGATTTATTTTAACTGTGTGAAGCATAAATGAAGTGTAATACTATCAGCTTTTCCCATCATGCTGTAATTTGTGTAGCGTAAGAATAACCCTTCAGATGGCACAATCTGGGCAATTTGCTGCGAAATGCAACAGGCTGCGTCTTACTGGACATTACAGCAGCAACGTGACCGTGGAAATAGTTTCTATTGCTGAAGGCAAGGTCGATCCTGAGAATGACATGCTTAAAGTTGTACTTTCATGGTGCATTACAATTAAAAACAAATAATTAAAAATGGATTGACAGCATCAAAGTAGCCGGTCCAGCAAGACATTTCTTTTATCTATATATACAGCATATAGCCGCAGAAAAAATTAAGAGACCACAGCACAATTTTTTGTTTCACTTATTTCTCAAGTTATGGGTGTGTGTCTGTGAATAACATATTTTTTATTGAAAACTGCAGCCTGGTTCTTCTCTGTTTCTCATTAATGAAGGGCTTCTTCCTTGCTTTATGGGACTTCAGTCCTGCTTCTAGGAGCTTGTGTCCTAGCAGTGCACTTCATACCTGCACTTAATGTTTCCCATTCCTTTCGAAGGTCACTTGACGTCATTTTCCGATTCATGAGAAACTGTCGGAAAAATTAACGGCCATCTCTGGCATTAGAGAGTCGCTTCTGCCCTCTACTTGGCTGATGTCTGGTCATTCCCAGTGTTTCCTGCTTCACCTTATTCTTGTGTACTGCTGTCTCTGAACCTGAAAGCAACCTGCTGCACAGTGATTAAACCAGGATTTAAAAATGCAGATTTAAAAAAAAAAAAAAAAATATATATATATATATATATAGAGTGGTCTCTTAATTTTTTCCATGGCTGTATATAAATACAGGTATATAACAAATATATACACATATATATAAATATTTTTTTCGGCTAACCGTCAGCAGTTATGTCAGTCTTTTACTGTTGCTAGTAAAAAAAAAAAAAGAAGAATTGCAAATATTGCCATATTTATTCAGAAGATTTTGGAAAATATGAATTGAAATATGAAATAGTGATATGAAATGGTTACTGCTGTGCCAAGTTTATATTTATTTAATGGCAAATTCCTCAGTCAGCATTTTCATTTTAAATGCAATAATCCTGAAGTAAAACCCTGGCTTAGTGTGCAGCACTGCATTGTCCTGCCACATGGCCTCTGTTTCCTGGAATGAGCTCTAGGATCGCTGTGACCCGGAATTGGATAAGTGGCTGTGGAAGATGGACGGCTATAGAAATTTCTGGTGGCATTGTGGCCTCCTCCTTCAGGGCTCTGGTTTTGATGCCTGCTTTGGACAGGGCAAGCAGCCAAAAACAGGATTTCCAACAGTTTTTGGACAGGCAGTCCTGTCACTTGCAGTGGTCAAACTAATAAAAGAGCGTACCTTAGACGAATATAGAGTTGGAGTGTTACATATCTTGGGTGATTTACTGCAGAAGAAAGCAACAACACTGAGTCATGGATGCTACACAAAGCTGTTATTGACGGTGACACTGTGGTTCTCTATGATAGCTGATGACATTTTATGGCCTGATGGTGAGTTTTCGACTGGCAGCGGTGCAGCCGAGCATGAGGATTATGTTTGCCTTGGACAGGTCGAGGTGCAGATGATGATCAGCCGTCCAGGCAGAACTATCACTAAACAAGAACCAGTGTAAGAGGAGTCTTGTGGGGAAGGTACATGGAATTGACAAGACGATGACTGAGCTCAATCATCTGTTCCGTTAAGAAAACAAGTGATGACCCAGTAGAAATATTCTTATAGAAACTCCAGATGAAGCAGCGAGAGAGCCTTGCCTTTCACTTTGTGAGACACAGAAATATGGAGAAATTACCCTATAGGGTACAGTCTGTTTATTGTAAGCGTCAGATTGGAATTTATTCATAAAGAAAGTGCAGAGTGTGATGTGATAGTAGATTTGAAAAAGCTGATACTGGGCCTGACTTCTGGATTCACCGGCTTGGTTCTGTCAGCACAGAGTGAATTTCGGATCAATAGTGGAACATCATGCTGGACCTGAAGTCAAAGCACATAGTAACTGAAGGCAGGATAAATGTACTGATGGTGAAAAATAGTTGGGAAAAAAGAGGTTGG